ACAATAATTCGATTGAACTATTTCAGTGGGGATTCTTCAAACGAAGTCAACACGAAGAGTTGAAACAACTGAAACGAGCAAGTCAAGCCGCGCCTACTTCAGCTTCTCGGCAAATTAATAAAGGTTCAAGCGAAGAATTCGATCTGGATTCATCAGCGGATGAATAGGCATAAACTGAAATAATTTTATTTTTAATTACTTCAACTTCAAAAACATTATTTTCATTTGGGTATTACTATGATCGTGTTTAAACAACCGAAACCGTTATTTTGAATGATGATTTCATGCATTTAATATTAGCGGAAAAATTAATATTTCTACGAATGAAATGTGTGTAACCAAATTGGGGCATGTGTGTTATCATCACCATGATTGTGAGTGGAATACGTGTGTAATAACTAGAATTTTAATTTTTATCTCCACTTGTTATTTAGTCACAGTTCCCAAAATGATTGCACTCGGAGTACTTACCCACATGTCTAGTGAATTTATTCCATAAACAAAATCAGATAGGCCTTACTTCTTGAAAACATCTTGAAAACATCTTGAAAATTGCCTTCTTTTTTTACCATGTTTTAACCAATAAAGCCCTAAAATTGTTGAATCGCAAAAACAGAAATTAAATTCACACGACTTTCTCTAGACTTTCTCTAGACTTTCTCTTGGATAAGAAATAACAGAAAAATGGATTACTGATCATATTTTCTCTCATACAAAAAGAATGGAGAATTTATAGGCGAAATATGGGAGAAATGACGCCGTCAATATTTTGCAAAAATCTCAGTCATTCTTATACCATAATATATTCAGAGCTTGGCAGTGAAATAATTAATATAATCGGAAATATAGTTAAATGTGGGAAAAAATATTCAAAGATTGTTTATAAACAGGTCTATTTTGTTCTATTATTCATTATCCGATTGAAGAGTTGTGGGTAATATTGAGTCAGAGGAATATACATTTGATAGCTAAATAATGCTGGGAAATTATTTCGCCGATAACGAAAATGATTCCCATTTTTCATTTTAAATTCAGGGTATATTAAAATGCTTACTATTATCCACTTATAAGGCCAATGACATAATTTTCAAAGAATATCCCTTACTTCTCCGTAATGAAAGATTAATTGCGCAAATACAATAATTCATCCATGTATTTAGCACTGTTTCTTAGTATTCAGCAAAATTCGAACATGGCTATAAAATACATGCCATTTTCTGACTTGTAGCTAGTCGCGTCGATTATTCTTTTCAACAAACAATAAACTTCATTTTTCAAAGTGCAAAATACGTCCTTATTTTGTAGTTATAATTTTTATAATTATGTGATTTTGACGAAAATGTTTTATTACAATTTTGAATAAATGCAAAATTTGGGATGAGTTTGAATTAAGTTGCCTTGGTTTGAATAGAAAAATGGTTGAAATGCGAAATAATTTTAGTATTATTTTTGTCGCTCTGACAATAACGATGATTTGCAGTCATTGTACAAATGGATTTAATGTGTCACCAGTGCCGAATATCGTTTTTCGTGAACCGAAAGCTTTGAATAATTCGAATAGTTACTTTGGATATTCGGTGAACCTAAAAGCCAATGGGTAATCGAAATGGCCAATTAATTTTGGCTTAAGAACTCAACTTGATTCTAAATATGTGCACTACAACAAATTTAATCTCAATAGCGTTCTGATTGGTGCTCCACGAGCTCGATCCAATTCCCCGAATGGACAATTTGAATCCGGTGCCGTTTACAAATGTGATTTGAATAAGATTTCAAAAGGAGATTGCCAACTTTTCAATGGTTTGGGAAATATAGAAAATTTAAATGGTTCGTGGCTTGGAATGTCAATGGATAGTGGCGCACGTGATAATGAAGCGTTTGTGGTAAATTTCCAAAGCAATTATTGCTAATAAATTATCGAAGTATTTTATTGAAATCAAATTAAATTAATCGAATCTCAACGAATTAACGTATCATTTGAAAAGGTTTGTGCACCGCGATTTACCACACCGTGTGAAGAACGCATTAAAAGAGATATTGAAATCTTTAGGAAACATGGGGAGACGTATGAGTATAAAAAAAAACCATACGGTACATATGACAAAGCGATACATGGCAATTGTTATTGGGGAAATGAACAAAAACATGAAATGAAACTCGTCTTTAACTTCACAATGAAGCAGTTATTAGATGACTCAGATATACAAGTAGGCAAAAATGAAAAACCATTCAAGTATTATGATGGAGAGCATGGTTTCAGTGTTCACATCACCGATAACAACAAAGAAATTCTGATGGGTGTACCTGGTTCAGCATATTCCAGAGGTTTGGTAATTCGAAAGAAAATCAACACACTTCGAACAACAAGTCAGCTTATTGACTCTGAAGTGCCTAACCCACGATTTTGGGATGACGGCAGTAAGAGAACAGTAAACACATATTTCGGTTTTTCCATTTCGTCTGGTTATTTTGATGGCCCCAGAAAATCCAAACTACTTTATGTGGCTGGTGCACCAAGGGATATTGATGAAACTGGAGCAAATAATGGGGCTGTATACATTTTTGATTTTCAAACACATTATATAAATTGGCAAATGGAAACCGTAATGAAAAAGCATTACACATTTAATGGTGAATGGTTGGGTGAATATTTTGGCTATAGCGTGCTGGTGGAGGATTTTGACAACGATGGTCTCATGGACATTGCCATTGGTGCACCATACCGATCCTCCGGTGCTGTGTACATTTACAAAAATCGCAAAACGATCGATTCTTTGAATTTCAAATTGCACTGTATTTTACATACAACCGAAAAAGGTTATTATCGGGACAAAATGTTCGGGGCAGCTTTGATGAAAGTTGGCGATATCAATCAAGACGGATACAATGGTATTGAAATGTTTGACAACAGAAACTTCATTATTTTTTCATTTTCTATTTTCTTCAACTTTAAAATGATTTTTATCCATTCAGATCTAATAGTTTCGGCGCCTTTTGAAGGTAATGGAGCCATCTATATTTACCACGGCAGTTCAGATGGTCTTTTGGACAAACCTGCCCAGAAAATCCATGCACCCAGCAACGCAGTCAAGTTAGATCAAATGTTTGGTTATGGATTATCGAAAGGAGTCGACTTGGATGGAAATAATTATGTAGATTTTGCGGTCGGAGCTCCTAATGCTGGAGCTGTTTATATTTATAAAACATATCCAGTGATTCGAATTGATGGCAGCATCAAACCTATCGATGAAAAAATACCAATTAGTGCCAAGACATTCGATCTCAGCGCATGCTTTCGTTATGAATCAAATCACAAGATCGAATTTGACGCTCAATTACGTGTCGTCGTCAAATTAGTTGACAAATTCACTCGTGCACATTTTCAAATTGATGGATGCAATGAAGAGGCGTGCGAATTGAATGTCACTTTGGCACCAAATGCGAGTTCAAAGTGTATTTCACTTAAAGCGTCTGTAATATTCCAAACCAATTACATATACGAACCGATTCATATGGAACTTAATCACAGCGTGATTAATGCTATTCCAAAATACGATGCTACTATGGACAACTCAGAGTTTTGCGAAACGTGCGTGGCTCTTGATCCTAAAAGTGTAAGAAACGCATCGAATGTAATAAAATTCGATCCTGGATGCAAGCATGAGCACTGTGTAACGGATTTGCGAGTAACAAGTGCATTGAGCTATAATGCAACGAAGTGCAGTGGACGAGAATCGTTCAAACGCGGTGATTCTTCTTTGACAATCAACTACACGGTTGAAAATCATGGTGAATCCGCTTATTCAGCAAATATTTATGTCACATTGCCAGATCATGCCCACTTTATGAAAATCCCCTCTACTTGCGAACAAGGTATCGCTCAAGAGCTGATTTCGAATAAGACAGTATACATCTGCAGTTTGACCAGTGAAGCTCCGATGTTTCGTGGTGATAAAACTACGCTGAACATTGACATTAACACGCGCAGTCTGACTACGATCCAAACCATTCAAATAGAAGCAATAGCTTCCAGTCACACAACTGCGACAGGCTCACCCATATTTGATAACATTGCACACATAGATAATGTTCCGGTGACTGATTACAGCAACATTGAAGCTTTTGGGTTAGTTTTTTCTTTCTACTTATTTTATAGAGTCTAAATTGTTTTCGAAATCATTTCCAAAGGTACTCTGACAATTCCGAAATTAAAATACAAGCTGGTACCAACACACAAGAGAATCTAACGCACGAATTCGAGGTAAGAAGAAAACAAAATGTACCTTAAGGAGAAGACTGATCAATTTGCAAACATAATTTTGTGCACAGATTAAGAACCATGGCCCAAGCAACATCGATTCGTTGGATGTTTTCATTTATTTGCCAACAAAATATATCGACCCGGTTACGAAGAATGCCAAAGAGCTCGTTGACATTGAAAATGTTTCATTTCACAATAAATTCGAAGGGAACAAATCGGATATCAAATGGTCTCAAACACCATATTCAGACAGCCCAGTTGCATTGACTACAGCTGTGTCGAAGAATGACCCGATTCGAAGTAATTTAAGTGCGGTTCAAACTATTTATTTCGAATGCAGCCATTCCGGATACGAACGCTGTTCCAAGGGCGAGTTCAGAATTACTAACTTTGAAAGTCACACATCATTTGTTATCACTTTGACGTTTCCAATCGACACGAAAAAAGTGGCCGATATAATCAGTGAAGCAGGTCAAGACAATTTCGTTGTTTTCACTTCAATTGTGGT